GGAATATGACCTCCTGGGGTATTCTGTTAATATTATATATACATATAAATATTCAAAAAAATTTCAAAAGTAGAAAAGTAGTAACTCTTTAAAAGTAAAGCCAGAGAGAATTTCCCGTTTTGAGGAACTTGGCTTCTTCAGTAAGCCTTAGAATCTGAAGTTTATGGAATCTAAAGTCCAGAAATATCCAAAAATCAGACAATAAATTGAATGTTTAAGCACTATGGGCAGACTCTAAAATAGACTCTAAAAAATATTTTTAGCCCCATTATTTCTAATACCACTTTCTTTGGGTAATTCTGATCAAAAGTATTCTTTGGCTGTTAGAATTATACATTTTCAGTATGTGTGAGTGAATGTGTGTTTGCACATGTTGTCATTAAGGAAGGAATTCTCTAGCCAGTTGCAAAGAAAAAAACATGGATGGTCCCAGATTTGTGTGTAAAGCCAGTAGAGTTCAGGACATTTGGACTGGAGATATCATGGAGTCCTAAGTTCAGCTGCAGAAAAACCACCTTTTGAGTTCACAGCATAAGTGAATACCACCAAACTGAAACATTTCACAGCTTTCTACTCTAGGAAATAATGGGGAGAGTTTAAAAATGTAAAACTTTGGTTAGTTCGGGGCTGAACTTGCTTACTTGAAAAACCTGGTGCTATGCACATGTATCTGCCTCTCCTTTGTAAATACCACTCCAATTTTATCTTTCAGTATTCAGATCAAAGTTCACATTCTAAGTCAGTCTTATGTTTTTTAAATCACTTGCAAGTTGTCCAAGTTAGAAACATGGGATAGGTGAGGCTTTTGGCATTGGCCACAAACATCCCTCCAAACAGGATTTTGGGGTTCTATTCTGTTTTTGTTGTTGTTTTGTTTTTGTTCCCTTATGAGAACAGCTTTCATTATTGTTTACCTATCTTTAACACAATATGAATCACAGTTTATTGATTTCAAATATCTGACCAAAAAACATGAGGTAAAACCTATGATTTGTGGTTCAAACTTATTTGGGAAAGTGAATGTAATTTGTATCTCCTTCCCACACACAAGCAGTTTTGTTTCTGCTTTTGGTTGGGTTTTGTTTCCCCTACTCTTAATCCCCAGGGAATATTATTTGCACAAATTTAGTCCTTTTTAAAAAACCTAAAACATGAATAGGAAGTGGTAAACTCTGCTCAAAACAAAATTAAAATATAGGTCATCCTTTAAAATAACTCTATACATACTTTCCTTCAATTTTCTCTCTGTTGACCATACATTTTGGAGAATCATAGCCAATTGTGTTGGAGAGAAATACCCTTTGCTACATTATCTGTCTCTTATTTTCTTATTCTTAGTTTTGTTTATATGTTTAGTAGTTGAAAATAAATCATTCTGTGTCCTGGTATAACTTGTTTACTACTTCCTTTAACTGTGTTTTGAATGTCACACATTTGTATTTTATATTGTATTTCAGTATTCAACTTTCTCATCCTATTGTTAGGTAGGGAATTATGCAGCCTGTCATATTCTGAGTTTTGTCTTTTCTGATTATTTGCAGTGTTTAGTTTTGTTTTCTTCTTTCCTTTTTTTACCTTTAAACCCTAAAATCACCAGCCTATTTTTTATAAGGTTTTCTAATGATTTCCCATTTTTGTATATATAGAAATGGCTCCCTGAAAATGTTGGTTGAGCATTTTAAGTTATAATACTTATTTTACTTTAGGCTGGTAATTAATAAGATACTCTAGTGTACCTAGTAAGTGTTAGCCTGCTGTATATAGAAGGCTGTTATGTTGTATTTCTAAATACTTTGTAAGTATATGGTAAGAAAATACCCATGTGTGGTAATACATGGTAATGTGTGATAGCCCACCTTCACTTCTATTTCTCCCACTAGAACTAGAAAGCTGCTTTCAGGCACTTTATCTCAGAGCAGGAAGGGAAAGAGCAGGCTGCCCTTGGCCCACCTGTGTGTGGAGCGAGCACACCCTGCCCCTCCTGTTTAGACACAAGACTTGAGTTTTACTTCAGAACTAAATCCTCTAGCAACTGCTTACCAACTTACCTTCATATCCTCAGTACTTGGTCTCTTCTTTTTATCCCTTCATATTACCCTATTCTCCTGGCCTCTAAGTGTGTACATTTGCTGGCTTAATTATTTTTGTTTTGCAAAATTAACAGTGCAGAAATTATTATAGGAATGTCTGTCTCTGACACAAGAAGTCTGTGCGGTGGGCTTATTCTCTGAGATGGTAACAGACTCCTCTGATGAAGTTAATGCAGCCCTTTCCCAGGGATGAGCAGCCTGATCATGAGCCCTCTCTTCACACCTTTTATAGAGTCTAGTCCAACCTGCAGCAGGGTCCACCCACAGGAGAGGGGTCATAACCACGGGTATTCCTTGGCACATAAGGTCAACCAGTTCTTCATTTGTATCTACCAGACTTTGCCCAAAATAGTAAATTCCAATTCTGGCTGCCTTTGGTACTAAGTCTTCAAATAGATAATAATTGGGATATAGTCAATGTTATAAAAGGCCAAGCCTATAATTTGATAGAAGTATTTTCAGATGAGATGGCAATATAATGTTCACAATGTATAGTGACCATTTAAACATATACCAGTTTTCATAAGTTTGGAATTTAGCCTTTTTTTCCTGGTACTATAGAATATTAACCCATTAAATGAGGAAGAGTTTCACATTTTTAGAAATTTGACCCAAACTTATTACCAGGGTCATGAAGAAAATGCAGCCTCATGGAGGATGAAGAGGTCACCTGTGCAGCGTCTTCCAATTCAGACCCCCCTGTGGGGACCGTTCAGACCACCTTGGCTGATGAATGAGCGAGAATACAGATCATTTTGTCTATCAAATGAGAGGACCATCTCACCATTATCTTGACATTTTAAGATGGTACTTGATCTCTAAAACAGCAGTTTCCATAAATTATATATCTGTAAATGTATGACAAAAAGTTTAATTTCTGAGCAAAACAAATTGACCTTTTAGCAGTTATATAAGTTTTCCATCTCCCTGAAATTTTCCCCTGCACCCACGCCCTTGAATTCCTACTCATCCATCGAGACCCAGCTTTCATTATATATAGTTGACCCTTTCTGTCATAGTGTAAAGTGATCAGAACTTCTTTCTAGGCAAGGAGAAATGCCAGAAATTCAGCACACTGATCAAGAAGAGTTGGTTAGATCATTAGAGTTGATTTTACTCATGAAGTGGCTCTCCAGTGCTTTGTCATTGCAGAGTGTTCCCCAGTCCATCACTCCCCACTCGGTCATTCTGGGGAGCAGCATCGGACCCCGGGCCGTCGGGGAGGAGGCGAATTCCCTAAGACTAGCTGGAATTGGCTGCAGAAACCAGGCTGGCTCCTGCTCTTGGCACTGGGGTCTCCCCTCCATGAGGATTGTTCTCCTGTGCTCAGGCCATGGCATACGGAGACCAGGCCATGCAACAGCATCGGGACTGAGGATAACACTTAAGAACCTGGGATTTGAATATGATTCCATATTCTTCATCAGTCTTCTCTTGAGTATTCTGACCCAGTGATCTAAAGATACAGATGACTCCATCTGTGTTTGTAAAATAAAACACCATTGGGCCTCACAATTTATTGAAATTGAATAAAAATCATTTCCAAAGAATGTGAATCCTGGGGTAGTGAGGCCATTAAATTAACCAACCCACCTTAAGAGATGGATGGTGAACCGAAATACTTTGAACACAGCCCTTCAACACCAAATTGTTTGATTTTTTTTTCCTCTATCCCATCTGCCCTACTATCTTCTAATCTTCAGTGAATCCTCTCTTGTGTTTGTAAGTACAGATTAATCTATATTCACTTTCAGCTCCCTTTGCTCCGAAACCAGGGACATAGAACTGTTTCATTTCTAATGTGTCCCTTAACTCGATGCTAGTAAAAGCAGCAAGTGGTGGTATTTAATATACAAGCACTTCAAATGCCGCATGAAATGTTTAAATAACCACACAATTTTGAAAACAAGTTGTCCTTTACACTAGCTACCTTGGAAGTAGTGATACTTTCTTTCTCACTGTGTTGCCATTGTGCTAAGCATTTTGGGGATTTCTCCTTTGTAATTGCCTTAACATCCGCTTGTAAGCCACACGAAAAATCAGTCTTGTTTCTTACACTATCTAGGTTACCATACAAGTGTCACATTGCCCCACTGGGTCTCTTATTTTATAAACCAACCTGGCCTCTCCTGACTTTGAACTCTTTACCTTCTCGCTCACTAGGAGCAGATGTCACTGTTGGTGAGAATATGCTGGAGAGGCAGAGCCAGTGCAGCTGTGTTAAACGTCTAATCCCTCAAGGTGACCACTTGATGGGGACAACACTAACTTGGATTTTCTAATAAGTACATATTTTTAAATAGCCCTTAGAGTAGTTTTCTTTTCCTAATATCCATGCCTTCCAAATCAAGGGCAAGTTGCAAATTTTAATTTCCTGGGTTACTTATTTTAATTTCACTTTTCAGAAATGCAGTAAGAGCTAACGTCCTTTTAAGCTATAAAACATTGGTACACGCTTTACTCATGATAATTGATTCCTGTTATACTTCATTTTTTCCTATAGCCTTAGCTCTTTAAAATCCCCCATAACTGAACTGGTGATGATTACAAACCTGATAGAACCTCATGTTTTTGAACAGAAAAAGGAGGAGACAGCACATTGCAGCATGTGCTTGAGGTGGGAGCCAGGAGGGTCAGATAACAGACCACATCTGCATCTTTTGGATCAGCAGCCCTTGAATGATCCGGGAACTGTGAGCATGGGAGCTTGTCTTACCGTACCTGTTCCAACCCTCACCCCGATTATGTCATATAGTACCCTCTTGACTCCAAGGGTCCTCCTGGTCTCCATGTGACAGCTGTCTGTATCAGTCAGGAGTAGGAACTCCACCCCTCCGGAGGTGAGATTCATAGTGTACAATGAGCTGCAGGTGTTTCTGACTGTAAACTCCACTCCTGTATCACATTCACACCAGAGGCTCTCAGCTTCTCAGTTCACTCTCCCTGATCATGTTCCTTCTTTCATAAATGTAACAAGAGGTACAATAACTTCGGACATGGTTTTCTGATCCATGTCCATTTTGAGCAGCAGTGACTGACTCAGACGGATACAGGACAGGATATGACTCGATCTTCTAACATCACACTGATTATCAGGAATATAAAGTAAAGGAGGAACATTGTGAAGCCCAGGATCTTGTTCATTCTCCATTTGCACGATGCAATTGAAGAGATCACAAACAGGAGCATGAGAAAAAGCAGAACGATTGCACAAAACAAGCCATTGCTGCTGACTGGAACAGGCTGTAGTCCATTGATGAGAGAGAAAAGCAACCAGGGAACTGGCAGGCTGCAAGATTGAAAAAATAATGTGAGTATTCTTCATGTAGAAAACATGCTTAAACTGTAGTTTACTATTTACGAAGCAAGTATTTTACCACGCACACAAAAAAATCGGTGAAATAGAGCAGCAAATATTAGTCCCACTTCACAGATGAGGATACTAAGAAAATTAAATTACATGCACTTGGACTCACAGCTAGTAACAGAGAGTCTAGACTAAAACTGAAGTTTTCTGGGTCTGTCTGAGCGTTTTTTCTTCATACTAAATCACTTCTGCATGATTAACCCAGATCTGTGGACATGTGACTCTCATCTCTCAATTCTTAGGATAAGGTCCCGCTCAGGATAACATTTCTTTAAATTCTTAAGTGATCAGGACTCCCCCATGCCCTTCCTCTGCCCCAACTGTACATACACATAAACAAATTCAAAATAGCGAAACCAAAGCCACCACTCAAGTCCAGTGCATGACTGGGGAAATGAAAATAAACCAGGTGAGTGAGGGAATGGGTGCGGGAGGATGCAGCATTTGCTTATTCATACAAAATGCTTTTAGAGCTGGCGGGAACCCAAATGCAAAGGAGCTGGGGTATCAGGAAGTGAAAATGAGTCATCGTGCCAACCCCGCGTCCAGCACCTTGCAGGTCAGTGAGCAGAGCATTTGACCGTATTTGGTAATGGAATTTAATGGGACTTCATTTTTCAATTCATCTATAAGTTCCAGGCAGCATTTTAGTTCTATTATCTCATCTGGCTGTGATGAATGGAGGGAGGATACTTTATTGCCTTATAGCAACTAATAATATAAATGCCCTTTTATTCCATGTATAATGAATGAAGCAGAAAACCAGTAAAGAGAGACAACAGAAGGTTTTCCGGTCTTACTTAATGTGCCTTAGAAAACAGCTTTGCCACTCACCCGACGGTGATATCAAATATGTTGCTGCCCACAGAACTTGACACGGCCATGTCTCCCAGGCCTTTCCGAGCAACAATCACACTGGTGATGAGGTCAGGAATTGATGTGCCTGCCGCTAGGATCGTCAGACCCATAATCTCTTCAGAAATCCCTATTGTTTCACCAACCTAGTAAACAGAGTAATAAGAAACCATGGTGACACAGGTGGAAAATCCGAGGCTCCTCAAAGCACCCGCCGCACGCTATTGTGCTTTGTGCAAACCCAGCAGCTCCCATGGAGCTCGGCACAGGCCCTTGGCCTGGGGGAGGTAGGGCGATGGCGGAGCTGGCAGCTGCGGAGATCCCACAGAGAGAGAGAGCGGGGCCCCTGCTCAAGGCTTTAGGAAATAACTCTGCTCTTGTCTAGCTTGGACTAACAGTTGACCTAGACTGTTACCTGTCACCTGTCACTGTCATTCAAACAACTTCTAAAGAACTCTTCTAGAAGAACTGCCCCTCCATAGATCTGTTCATGTCACATTTTCCTTTCTGGGACCATGGACACCTTGCTATATGCAGGGAACTGAGGCCGGAGAGAGAAGTCTGAGCAGTACAACGTTGGCCTCCTCTCAGTCTAGGGAAGGAGAAAAGCTGTAGACAATGACTACAGCTCTGTGCTAAGTGCAGTATTCCAGGTGGAACAGAAAAGCCATGGGCACACAGAGGAAGATGATTAAAATGCCAGAGAGGAGGCCAAACTGAGCTTGCTTTCACGCCTGTGTCCGATTCGCCAGCTGGAGAGCAGTGGGAGACGCGTGAGGGAGAAAGCAGGGACTGTGGGTGGTCAGAGCAGACTGAAGGGCCTTCTGCGCTACAGTGTGAATATAAGACAGAAGAGCCACACTTGAAAAGCACTACATTCACTGAAATAAAAAGTCTGCCTGTAGCAAGGTAGAAACTACAAACTCACTTGATCTGAGGATCCATCCCCTAGGTACTAGAAATTGATCCTGAAGGAACAAAGTGTCTTTGGGGCTTGCTGATACAGGGTTTAGTGCCTGCCATTCACTCACCTGGTGAGCCCACCACACCATGAGGTATGAGAAGGTGGCTATCCACATGATGGATCCCAGGAAAGTGAAAACAAAAAACTTCCTAGACTCCTGTTTGAAAGTATAAAAAGAAAGAGAAGTTGCAGGGGCAAGAGGTCTTTGGCCCCAGAATCGGTGATGACGTCTGCCAGAGGAATGGTGGAGAGGATCTAGAGATGTTTGAGCTGAAATCTGTTTCCAGGAAGGCCCTTGGGACAGCAGGCCTGGACGGACTTGGTGGCATACAGGGGAGTCCAGCCAGTAGGGAGCCATCAGTTTGAGCAGCCATCAAACTGAAGAGAGCTATTTGCTTGCCCCAGAACCAGACCAATCTAGGCATTTAATTTGGCTTCTGCAAACTCTTTCTGCCCCACCCCTCTCCAGACCCAGACATGGAATATGGACTGCCTTTGCATGGGGGCGGGGGGAAGCTAGTCAGCTCTTTCCTATAACTAGGAATGCTGGGAAGAAATGGCACTTATCACCCTGGGTTTTCCCAGTAACCCTGTGAAATGTGGAGGGGTGTGGTGGCATCATTCCTATATTAAAATCAGGGCACTGAGATAGGAGTCAAGGAGTGACAAGTTCGCACTGCTTATAGTGGTGGAAATGAGCACATTCTAGGGCCTCCCGAGCCCATCGGTCTGTCCCCCAGGTGCATAGTGCCCTCCCGCCCGCCGCCAGAGCTGCAGATTCTAGCCCAGATCCTCCCTGCGGTTGAGTCCCGCCAGGCTGATGGACCCTGCCTCCCAGCCCCTCGGGTGGGATGCCTGGACACCTCCCAGCCTCCCCGGGGCCAGACAGCCTGGGCTTGGCCGGGCAAACTCACCAGCCTCCGGACGTCGGGCACCGTCAGCCACAGCGGGAACACAATGGGCAGGAGGAAGAGGTAAACGGCCTGCTTATGCCGGGTCTCGGGCCACTCCAGGGACAAAGGCTCCTCATTTTCTTCCTCTTCCTCTCCTTCCTCATCCTCTTCCTCTTCCTCATCCTCCTCTTCTTCCTCATCTTCACTGTCACCTCCATCACCTCCCCCTTCACCGTCTGTACCTTTCTCATCACTTTTGGCTTCACCTTGATTTTCAGCATCGACTTCCTGCTCTTCAATTCCACCTTCGTCACCTTTCATTTTGCCATCATCTTCTGCTTGGAGTTCGCCTGCACCTTCATCATTTCCTTTGGTTTCTTCTCGGACTTCACTACCCTTCTCCTCATCTTCACTGTCACCCCCATCACCTCCCCCTTCACCGTCTGTACGTTCCTCACCATTTTTGGCTCCACCTTGATTTTCAGCATTGACTGCCTGCTCTTCAGTTTCTTCCCCTCTCACTTCACCATCTTCTTCTGCTTGGAGTTCGCCTTCACCTTGCTTTCCTTTTCTTTCTGCTGGTTTTTCACCTCCACCTTCGTAATCTCCTTTTCCTTCTGCTTCAAGTTCACCTTCGCCTTCTAGCTGAGTTTCACCTCCACCTTGCGCTCCATTTTCACCTTCACCAGGAGCGCCTCCCTCTCCGCCTGCCGTTTCACCTGTGCTCTCAGCTCCAGCCGCAGCTCCTTCCTGCAAGGCAGAGCCGACAGATGAACAAGCAGTAACTTCTTGGCTTGTTTTCCTTCCCAGTTTCTTCCTATTATTTTTGTTGTTGTCCTTCTCTCAGAATGTATCTGAGACTTGAGTATGAGGTGAAAACTAGTGCAATTATTCACCAAGATTCCCTTCGCAACATTCCTACCCAGTGGTCGTTTGGTCTTTATTTGATCATTTCCAGAGATAGAGAGTCACCACCTAAATCAGCTCTGTCATCTTGGGCAACTCTGATCGGTTTGAAGTCCATATTTATACCAAGGAGCTACCCTCTGTGTATGGGTTTACTCTGGAGACACACAGAACAGAGCTAATCATGTTTCCATGAGACAGTTCTCTCCCCCACATTAAAGGTACCCAGGTCCCTCTGTCATTCCCCCGTATAACGGCCGAGAGCCTCATCCTCATCTTGGTGAACTCGGTCTAATTAGCTAATACCCCATAAGGAGGCTTCTAAAACTGAACAGAGAACACTGCACTGAATTTAATAGGATTATCACCTCCCTTGTGTTAGATACTATGCGTCTGTTAATGTTGCATGATATCTTTTGGGGGTTACATCACATTGCTGTGTCCACTAAGCTCCTAAACTGTTATATTACCTCCTATGTATAAAATGATGATAAAGCCTACTTTTTGAGGGATTTTATGTGTCAGGCACCATGCTTAGTGGTATAATAATAATAATAGCTAGCAGTTACTATGTTTCATGAAGCAATTAATTTATGATATAGACAGAATTAAACCCATCTGATAGATGGAGAAACTAGGGTACAGAATAGTTGAATGACTTGCCCATGGTCCAAACAGTTTATAAGAGATGAAGTTGGGATTTAAATACAGATAGTCTAACTCTGCCTCTTAACCACTAACCTTCCCTGTTTTGCAAATGCCAGGGCCAAATGAAGTTTGGTTGCCAAAACTCAGAGTGTAGGGCGCTTATTAGAATTGCACATCTCCTTGCCCCACCTGAACTGACTAAATTAGAATCTGGGAGCAGAAGCCAGAGATCTACTTTAACATGCCCACAAGTGCTCCCAATAGGTCCCCCTGCAGACGAGTGTTTGGGAACCATGGACTGACTCCACACACTCCAAAGCCATGGATTCTGAGATCCCTCAGATCGGGCTCTGAGCCAATCTATAACAACATGCTGGTCCAGCCCCTTGGATAAATGACCTGGACTGTGTGCTCGTGGAGTGTGTTTTGTGTAACAAACTTCATGGCACAGCCAACTCCCAAGGGCACTCAGGGATTCTCAACACTGGTGCACGCTAAAACCACCAGGAGGCTTTAAAAACATTCATGCCCAAGGCCCCACCCCAGATATTCTGGTTTAGGAGATGGAAGGTGGGGCTTGGGCATATTTTAATGTTTCCCCCACATTATTCTAATGTGCAACCAGGGTTAGAACCCCTGAGGAAGTCAAATATTAATATTTATGAAGCTTTGCTTTGAACTGGGAAGGAAGAGTGAGAAGATTTTAGTCTGAGATCATTCCTGCCCTCCCTCCCCAGCCCTGTCAGGAAAGGCAGGGTCCCTGGAGAAGATGATGAGTCATTTAAATCGACAGGTACGGGAGTATCTGCCCAGCCTGTACCCTCTTCTCTAAGAACTGTCGCCCCTCTAGTCCCCTCTCCCGCGTTGAAGTCAAAGCACCGCCCCAGCCCCCGACACAGCTGATTGGACACAGGCCGGATCCCTGCCTGTGACCTGGTTTGAACAAACTCTCTCTCCCCCATGACCAGGAGCCAGTCACTGTCTGACCCCCTGTAGACTGGAGACTGGGGTGGCGGTTTAGGGTTGTGCATGCTAATAAGGAAGCCAATGGGGCCAGGCTGCCAGGAGAGGCCGAGTGACAGAGCCTCATAGGGAGAAGGGGGCATGAGGGAGAGCAGGAGATGAAGTGGGAGGCCACCAGGGTCATGGACACCTTCTCAGACCTAGGTCCGGCTTCTGGTGACACCCAGCTTCATTCACTTCCTGGCCTGGGGTTCCTCTTAATCCCTTGGCGTTGAGCTGGCTATCATGGGCCCACTCGGGACACTCAGAGCGCCATGAAGATATCTTAGGCACCAAACCCAAATCTGCCGGCTCAAGGGTGTGATATAATTGAGAGCTTCTGGGTGTCAAATTAAAAATAAACAACAAAATAAAACAAAAAAACAACAATGGAATTTGCAAACCGAATGCTTATTTATTACCAGCCACTCAACCCTTATTGGACACAGCTGTGTGCTCTGAGTTTCTCCCTGCGGTGGAGACAGAGATGACTCAGAATTGGATTCCACCTTCAGGAACCTCGCCACCTAGCAGGGGAACTAAGAGACTCATAAATAGAGTACAAGGAAGGCAGCGAGAAGGGGGGGGGCGGGATCAGGGAAGGCATATGGTGGAAGAGCCATTTGCACTGGCCTGGAGGGAGCCGAGGAGATGGGGAGGGAGGGAAAAGGCATTCTAGGGATGGAAGCCCTGTGGACCAAGGCCCAGAGGGGGGGAGGCATGGAGACAAGAGGCCCAGTTCGGCCGCTGCATGGTGAAAGGCGGTGAGGCTGTGAAGACAGCAGTGGCAGGACAAGGCCAAGGTGACCCAGCCACCCTCCCCCGGCATGTCGAGCTGACTGGTCTCGCTATGCCTTAGGTGCTGACAGACCCCTAACCTCGAGGAATGAACCTCGAACAGCCTTTCAGGCCCTCAGGGAGGAAGGATCTGGGTCAGCAAGTCCTTCCCTGGGCCTCTCAAATTCTTCCACCTGAGATGAGGCTTGTGCCTACCTGACCACCAGGATCCTCCTCCTGATTGCCCTTGACGTCTGGAGCAGGGGCTGGTGTGACCGTGACCGCAGGGAGCTCTGCTGGCCCCTCCTCTTTAAAGGATAAACATGGGATAGGTCAGAAGAATGCCGGGTTTTGAGAGCGGCTGGCAGAGACTGACGTGAGTGGCTTCAGGGCTATTGGACTTGTCCCCTTCACGGTCTCAGAAGGGAGAAGTCTTGTTAACAGGAAAAGGAAAATGATGCGATGTGAACAGTGATTGTCCCATCCACGGAGATATGTACAGATGAGAGGGAGCCATCCTGCTCCCCCTGTATTCACAGGCATTCCCACCCTGGCCAGTGTGGCCAAGGATCCTGTGAACAGCTGAGGCAGCTGGAGCAGAAAGAGGGCCAAGCCCCACCCTAAGGGTCTGGCCTTTCCCCCTACCAACCGCTTGGACAGGACCCTAATGATGCCAAAGACAGCAGCTAGGAAGTCTTGAAAAGTCTGGAGAGCTGAGTTTGGGGACAGGCTCTCTATTCTTGGCTGTGTGGCTTCGGGCAAGTCACTTGATCTTTCTGAGTCTCCCTTGTCTATAGAATGGGAACAATGACCGCTGCTCTACCCGCCCCCCAGGGTTACTGGGCACACAGGCGGGCTGGTGTGCCATGCAGCGCCCACAGGGCAGTGGCTGTCTCACTCTCCCTGCCCCAGCTGCCACACAGACACTGGACTTCTGTGTCACAAGACCCCTGGCCTTTCTTCACTGGGGCTGCTGGTCGCAGACCAACTCCTAGCAGAACTATCCTTGTGTAAACACGGCAGGAAAAAGAAATAGAAGAAATAGAGTCTAATTTGCAACAAAGAAGTGGGAGGTCAACAACCGTCCTCCTAGCCTTGCCTGCCCCTTCTAAAGGGAGTACAGAGGGAGCTGCGCAGGACTGCCCCCGCTCGGGACGGGGGACATCGAGGACGGCAAAGTGCCGTGCAGCACCAGGTCCTCACTCCAGCTGCCTGTCTCAGAGAGGCCAAGAGGCCTGCCTCAGCCCCTGGTGGACAGGAGGGAGGCAGGTGGCAGGAGAAAACCCACAGGTCTCGCCATCCTCTCACCTTCTGGTTTGCTCTCCGCTTTGGCCTGAGGCTTGGCCTCCTGACTCAAGCTCTCCTCGTCCTTGTTCTTGGAGGAGCGGGCTGCGAACGAAAAAGGAAACACATCTGGGGCCAAAGCATCCCTTCCACACCCTTCCAGTCAGGCTGGTCAGCCAGCAGCCAGAGCAGCTGAGTGGGAGGGAAAGGGCTGGCCTGGGAGTTACGGCATCTGGATTCTAGTCCTGCTAGGCTCGTCATGGTGCTCAGTTCCCGAACTTTTGTTTTAAATTCTCTGCATTGTCACTGACTGGCTGCGACCTTGGGCAAGTCCCTTCTCCATCTAGGCCTATTTCTTTTCTGGTAGAATACTGTGGTTGGCCATGAAGGCACCACATAGGATTTATTTCCTTTGCGAGCCCAACTGATGGCTGCTTAAGTGTGGAATTGAGGAGAATCCCCGCCCACGCTTGGTGAAAGAGTGCCGCGATTGGTTGGGGATGTCTGCAATGGGCAGGGGATGTGGAAACGACAACAGGGAGATGTTTTTGCCACCCTTAGGCTAGATTATCTGTAAGGTCCTATGCAGCTTACTTTCTATAAATCCACCAGAAGCTTCACTATAACTCCAGGGGCACCGCTGGTAGCCATGCTCACGAGCCTTCCCTCTGCAGTGGGGCAGGGCAAATAGCTGCCCACCAAGCTCCCTGCCACACCAGACCTCTGGAACCCAAGCAGGGCCTCCCTCCCGGTGCCTGCGCACAGGCTTTACTGAAGGCCCACAGAGCACTGTGCACACAAGGGTGATTTCCAGGCAGGAAAAGTGGGGAGGGCAACTCTCTTTCAAAGTGACTGTGTTGCAGGAAACAGGCGAGGTGCTTTACAGGTGTAATTTCAGGTGGGAGGCACAGGGACTGAGGTGCAGGGGCCCTGGGGGTCCTCCTCACAGCTGTGTAGTCTGTGTGTACGGTAGTGAGGGTCACGGTACAGATGACAGAACAAAGCGCTGCCATGGAGTCTCTTCTGGACTCCATGCTGGCCCTGCCCTGTGAACACCGGTGACCTGGGGGAGCCTGGGTGCCCTCCCTAAGCCCCAGTGTCCCTCCTCTAAGGAGGCTATACCACGATGGACTCAGAGCAACCACATGGGGACCCATGAGGCAAAAATAAATAAAATACTTTAATTGCTGCAATTAAGCATTATTATCTTAGCTCAGAACCTGGAACCAGCCAGCCTGGATTTGAATCCTAGTTCTGCCACTTGCTGGCTGTGGACCGAGCTGGGTGATTCCTTAACCTGCCTGTACCTCAGATTCTTCAGCTGTAAAATCTGACCGGGTTGTTGAAGGAATAAGTGAACTTATACATGAACTTGCTTAAAACCGTGCTAGGCACCTAGGAAGCACAACACCAGTTTTAGCCATGACAATCACGAGGAATTAACGACAGTAGCTAAGAGCGGCTGTCCCACGGAGCCTGCCGTCATGCGGCACCACATTCCAGAGGGTTTGGGTTACACCCTGAACATCCTCTCGTCCAGGATCCAGAGGGGTGAGTAGGTGCAGCCTGGGAAGGTGGGTGGACCAGACTCTGCCCGGGTCTAGGATGGGCAGGAAACATAACCACGCCTGGAACTTCCTCCTCCCAACCTGTCTCCTAAACTCTCAGAGTATGGTCAGCCGCGTTGCCTCTGGCAACAGGCTCCACCGTCCTGCAGGGCTGCCACTCTGGCATGTGTGTGTGGTCCCCCGAAGTGTGCTGGCGGGCCTGCCCAGGAGGTCCTTGTCAGAAGTGAGATGTCAGGAAGCAGGTGCTCCAGGGCCTCCTTCACCCAGGCAAGCCCAGCGCCCCCTTGGCGCTGATCAAGCACTGGCATTTGTGTTGAGCCAGACGGCTCCTCTGGTTTCAGTCCTGATGCTGAGAATGTCTGCTGCTGACTGGAGGGACTGGCAAGAAAACCAAGTTCCCCTCCTTCCTTTCCATCCCTCCTCACACACCCTACCCTCCCACTTCTCATGCCACCAAGGAAAGCAGATCAGCTACAGGGCAGTGTCTCTCTCTCTCTCTCTCTCTCTCTCTCACACACACACACACACACACACACACACACACATACATGCGCACGCACACTTATCCCAGTAAAAACATCAGAAGAGGCATGGGACCACCGGACCCTGGAGAGGTAAAGCGCCTTCACAGAGTGAGAGTTCAGCCCGCAGATCAGCTCTGTGGAAGAGCGGGAACACCTGAGAAGGGCGGAAACATCTGGACAGCCATTTGGAAGCCGCCTATGGAAACACCACCACGTATCTGGAAAGCCTTGGGAACAAAGGCCTACATTACAGCCCTGTGCGGTCCCAGCGCACCCCCCGCCCATGGAGTCTCGGGGTGTAGATCAGGGCTGGCTTCACTGAGCATGTCGGCGATCATTCGCAGTGAGGGCCATTCCATGCCACACACATACACAATGACCAAGCACGACTATCTTCCCCAGGATGACAGTCACTGGTGCCCCCAAGAGCGCGTTTCCTCACACAGCCTCTCAGCTCTCTGCGTGGCGGATCATCCCCTTAGTACCAATCTCCTCTGACCTCGGCCTGGCCTGGACATCACATAATCCTGTTAGGACAAGTAGGCCAGCTGGCGGCTGTTGGTCGCGGAAGTGGCCCGGGCAGGGGGCCCTTTGGTCCCATTGAGGAGTCTTTATCGTGAAGACTTGGCCAGAGTCGGTGACTCCCTGAGGAATGGTCAAGCATAACCCAGAGACTCGGCTTCCTTCACGGCGCAGCAGCACCAATAACACGCACTCTGCCGGCGGCTGCGGACTCCCTCCCAGAACCCAGCGGTCCCGTGTCTCTGGAGATGACGCCTGTGGATGGGCTCTCAGTGTCTGCCCGGGCTCACCCTGAGGATTTTCTAGGGAAGGTTTGATCGTCTTGTCTTTGACTCTGCTTTTCACAGTACAATATACTCCTTTTAAACACTCAAAATTCCAATATGTCTGAAGAAAATACTTAAGGGCCTGAGGAAATTCTGAGCCCCCCAAATTTGTCCTGGAACCAGAAAGGGTTGAGTCAGGGTTCTCCCTGGGGCTCAAAGGTCAATCTCTAGTGTCACATACGGCTCAGTTGGCAGCCCTCCTGCCCAACTGCAACTCCGATCCCTTGGCTTCTGCCCAAAGGCCCCCCTTCCCTTGAAGGGCCGCCTGCCCGCGCTCCTACCTCTGCACCAGAGCCCCAGAGATGGAGGAGCTCGGGGAGCGCAGGTGCTTACCTGAGGGGAGCCTCTGGGGGCCTGAGAATAACGTTGGGGGAAGTTCTTTGGGGAAGGAGGCCAGAAGACAGGTATTGGTAAGATGGATGGTGAGTCTCAGCCGCCTCAGTCATTTGTCAAGTTGGACATCAGCCCACCACTGCACTCTGGACCCTCAGCGCCCCCAGAAGTGGTCCTGGCAGCTCCCAGGATGTCCTTTGGGATTCCTGGTCAGGGGGAGTGTTAGCAGTCTTTCTAGGACACCAGAGCTAATTACAGAGCAAAGGGAGGCACCATCACCGCTTCTGGCACCTATAGGAGGTTCTCCCAGAAGTGACCCTGGCCAGTCGACCTGAGCGAAGCTGCTTGGCAGGAGACTCTGTGGGACACAGGAGTCAACTTGTGGGTGGTGGGCCATGCATGGAAGATACTGAGGACAGCCCCCCACGTAGACCCATGCAGGGTACATGACACTCATGGCCTCACTAACTGCAGGTGAACCGCATCATTTTATAAGAGAGGACAGAGAGGCAGGGGCATGGTGGGATATGGATTCCTGAGGGCCTGGGCTCCTTGGGGCCCCTCCTCTCTAGGGTGTTCCATGTCTTCGTCTCTGCCCGGCCCCCCCAGCCGGACTACCACCACTCTTCTCTGTTAACACTCTGTTCCCTCTCCTGCGTTCAGCCCACCCACTGCCTCTCAGTTTTGCAGGTCCCAGCTGTTGTCCAGCTGCAGAAAGGCGCAGGGAGACCACGCAGGTCTGGGGAGGCCTTGCTTACCTTCCCCCAGGTCCAGGCTGTGGAGCATGAGCCGGTAGATGGTGCTGCGGATGGTGCTGTTGTGCAGAGAGGCTGAGCTGCTCCCTCGGGTCAGCACGGAGGTGAGCTGAGCAGGAGAGAGCAGCACAGGCCTCAGTGGGGCCCTGCCCGAGCCAGGGGAGGGGCCACTCGAGGGATTCCCTGAGCCCTGCCTCCCTCCCGGAGAGATCAGCACGAAAGCACTGGGCCTCCTTCATCCTGCACCTCAACTAAGAGAGTTACGTTATGTTCTTTCTCAGCCTCCCTTCAATGCTTCCATGACTGACTCACTCTACATACGAATAACTCCCTGAGGTCCCAACAGGGAGCAGTAGACAATGTGTACTGAGGACAGCACATCACTGAGGGCTTGTCCATCCCCCACATGCACCCTCACAGAAGCACACACTCTCCCACACACCACACAGACGGGCCTTCACAGTCCGCAGACAGCACCGTGGGGCTTTATCATTGCCCCACGAGATAAGAAAGGCTGTGATCCCCTTCTCCAGAAAAGGAAAGAAAAACTCAACGAGTTCATGTGGGATACAAATGAAAGTGAAAACTAGCACCCAGGTCTTCTGACTCCCAATTCAATTTTTTTTTTTTTTACCCACGTGCTCAAGAACTGTCACAGGCACACACATACGCGCATCTATAAGTGCAGAGGTGACACACACTCATTCACAGTGACACACATAGATTTACAAAGGAACATCCAAAGACAAACGCTTGTTCAGCCCCTCTGTCCACCCCATCCGCCCCCACTTTCACCTTCCCCATCCCTCTGGCTTTGAATTCTTCTGCCATCTAGTGGCTGCGGTGACACAGTACTTTACAACAGGCCCAGGGATTTTCTTTGGATGGGGGAGATTTCACTCAGACCCAGCCTCTCTGTAAGGTCCCCGTACTTCTTCCCAAATACCCCAGAGGCCAAAGGCAGCTAAGACAGTTCTTCAGAAACTTCAGACTCCCCTACCCCCCATGGCCCTCTGATGGTCTCCTCGTCTGGGCGTTCCAAAGCCACAGGTAATTAGGCTTTTGGTCAATCATGGCATCTCGGGGCTGTAAAGTTGGACGTGAGTTCATCTAGTCCAGTCCTTTTGCAGATGCAGAGTCTGAGGCCCCAGCTCACACAGTGGCCTAGTGGCAAAGTGAGCAGTGACATGCTAGCTCCCAAACCAGCACCTCCTCCAAGGCCACCTGGGGCTGAGGGTGCCCGGCAAAGGAGCCCACTCTGTGCCTGGCTCACCCCGGCGGCACTCCCAGGAGCTTCCCAGGCCAGAGCCCCGCCCAGGATCGCCAGCATCAAGACCCCAGGGCCCTGAGTGAGGCTGTCCTCTGAGACCCCGCAGTGCCCTCGCTGGCAGACCCCACATGGCACCCACCTTCAGCTTCTTGTTATCCTGCAGCTCATCCACCGCAACTGCCCCATCACCTGGCTGCAAACAGGGACAGGAGTCACAAGACGTTTGGAGAGATCCTCACTCTTTCTCCCTGCTTCCCTCTCTGTCCAGGAAGCCCTCAGGTTGGGACACAGAAACACACCCAGAGATGACCTGGCCTCCCACAGCCCAGCTTCAGCCTGCACACATCGTTCCCACTCAAATGTGCCGCTCACTATGGTCCAATGATACCACCTGGCTTTCAGTTCCTCAGACGGACCATCCCCACCACTCACCTTGAAATCCTTACCATGGGGTGCCCGTCCAATTCCCCTTTATAGACTTCTATTCTTTTCCTTCATAACACTTTCCTCACTTCATTTGTGTTAGTTGTATGTTAGCAAACATGCAAACAAATTTATTGCCCTCTAGCATCTTGAAGGCAGACTGCCTATTTCATTCACCTTGTGTGTCCAGCATGAACACTGCAAGGGCTCCATAAATATTTGTTAAATGAATGAACTGTCCTCTAAATATAACTAATCTATTCCAACTTCTATCCCCTTGTTTATGACTTTCCTTCTGCCTAACATGCCCTCTCCATAACTCTGCCAAATTTTCAGAATATTCAGGGTAAATTCTTTTTTATTTTTCTAATGCTTACCCAAGGACAAGTTTATTGATTTTTAGAGAGGGTAAAAGGGGTGCGGGGAGAAAGAGAAATATCAACGTGAAAGCGAAACATCGATCAGTTGCCTCTCGTATCTGACACTACCGGGAATCGAACCTGCAACCTAGGTATGTGCTCTGACTGGAATCAAACCCACAATCTTTTGGTGCATTGGATAATGCTCCAACCAACTGAGCCACCTGGCCAGGGCCAGCGTGAATTTTTTCCACCTCACCATCACTTTAGCTCACTCTAATCTACAGGTCCTAAAAAGCTTTTTTTGTGGTACCAAAACTTGGCTCTGTAAACAAATAAGTGCTAATGTCCTGGGGAAGCTGCAGGGCAGTCACTGGGAAGTGGGACAGCCCTGGAACGTCAAGATGAAGGCCGATTAAGCCCACAGTATGTACTGTCTGACCCACTAGCTTGCACTTTGCATTTACTGCCATTTGAACTTAAAAAAAAAATTTACTGTTTAGCTTTTCACATCTATGAGTTGTGTACCCAGGTAGATTCCTTATTTTCTTGGCCACATGATGAACTTATGATACAGTCATCTCTGTTCCCCTAAACTGTGGCATAGTGTCTTGTGCACAGTGGGTGCACACAAAGGTGAGTAGATACTCCCAACTGGCCTCCAGCGCCATCTTCAGGCAGCAGGGTCACTAACGGCTGCCCCCAGTGATGTCTTCACCTTCGCATCGCTTCTCCCACCCCACCAACCTCCTTGGCCAGAACTAGAACTGGAATTGCTGCACTCCCTTCTCTGTTCAGCTCAGAAAACATAGGAAACACTGCCTAAGCCAGGGCCACTCACTCATTCGTCCAACCAGTACGTCTACTCATTTAGCTCTCATTTCCTAAGCACCTGCTTGTTTACATGGTGCTGTGCTGTAGGGATACAAAGATGTTCTAGGACATGGACTGTATGTCCAGAAAGGAATTAGAGCAAATGATAACACAGACACATGAAAAATCAGAATGTGTTTCAAGAAATGAGAGGGATAGATAAAGGTGCTGTGCTGCAATGGACAAAGAAGGCTTCCTGAAATAGGTAAAATTTGGGTAAGTTTTGAAGGATGGGGGAGGTTTGAATGCTTGGATACATGCCAAGTGAATGTATGAATGAGTGAACAAATGAATGAACAAATGAGCAAATATACAAATGAATTAAAGAGTCTTGTTCCCGTGGTGTAGTGGTTAACATTTTTGCCTCACAAATGAGTGTAACAGAAGAGAAATAACAAATATGAAGGGGGGCACTGTGGATTTTCTAAACAAAGCCCCTGACTCTTTCCCAATGTACCTGTAAGTTTACTGGGATACTGGAGTCTACAACACTGACCCCCACTGTCCCGGCCATGTCCCTAGTACCATACCCCGCCTTCATCCAATGAGTCCTTGGAGGCAAAGAATGAGGAGGAGCCAGGACACGCTTGAGGATGGCTGGTTCTGTCCACAGGGGGGCAGGAGAGACACACTTTTGTCCCATGATGCCCACGCCTGCTGATTTCTCTGCAATTCAGATTTATTCAAGCCCAAACACTTCTCAGTGGGTTCGTTGTTCATTGCACACATGTCTAACCTCAGTATGCACTTCTAACTTTCCGAAACCCTTCACATCCATTTTCTCATTCAATACTACCAATTCCATGAAATAAACAAGACTAGTGTTATTATTGCTATTATAATAGATGAGAAAACAGAGGCAGAACTATTCTGTGACTTGCACTCACAAAGAGAGTGACAATCCCAATCTCTTAATATCCATTCTAGGTTTTCATTGTTGTTGTTGTTTTCACTAAATCACATTTCTTTTCCCAAGCATAATAAGAAAATGAGGTCAAATCTACATTCCCTCGTGGCTCTGTTTCAAATTATTGAGGTAAATGGATGAGAATGTTTGTCTACATTTGGGTGTGGCTGAGGGTCCATTTATGGGTGCAGTACCAGCAATAGGTGCTCTCAGAATGTGTCCTTGTTGCAAACGCATTCCCACATCCACCTCTCACACCACACCATTCTTCCTCCTCTCCCACCTCACCACATCGCTTTTCCTTTTTCATGAAAATTAGCAAAGAGGCTGAGGAAACTGAAGAGGATGTCTTCATGCCTGCCACACCCCCAGCACCTGTGATGGATCTTCTTGCTGAGAATGAGCAATGGATCCCTGGCAGCTAGCTATTCATAGGCACCTGGGGAGGACACATGGTGGCCCCTCAGGGGGCTTGTCCTCCAGATTTTCAGTTTCCATCACCCACTGATGTAGCAATTAACCAATGACCGCTCCCCTTCTAGACACATAGCTCTGACACATTTCCTCAACCACACATTTTAGTCTGATTTTTAAAAACAATCATTCAACAAATATTTATTGAACCCCTGGTCTGAGTCCTGCCTTCACCCAGGTTACACTCTAGTTGGGGACCCTTCACTTTATCGCCTCACTGAGTACAGTCTTCTACCCTAATCCACCCATCTGTCTAGGCTGGAAACCCAAAAGTCTACCCAAATTCCTCTTCCCTTGCAGTTCACATCCAATTAGCTGTGAGACCTAGTTCATGAAGGTCCTCAGATTTGCCTTCATCTTTCCACTTTCCTGCCTACAGTCCTGCAACAACTCCTGAATTCTGATCTGTTCTTCCGGTTCATTTTCCACCCCTCAGCCAGTGATTTTTGGAGCAAAGCACATCATGCCCTCCCCGTCCCCCCCGCCCTGCCGCCCCGCATCCCAGGAGCTCACTGTCCTCAGAAGGGCACCTAGACTCCTTCCTGGGCACACACCAGCCTGCCGCTTACATCCAGTCCAGCTCTGTCCAATAGAAATAGAATGCGAGCTCATTCGGAACAGGTAGAGTTCTTGAGTAATTAGGACTAATTTTTAGCAGACAGTAGTTAGTGTTGGGAAGTCCAAACTATGGATTTTTAATTTTAAATAAACATAGAGTTGCTTTCAAGTATAGCCAGTAATTCAACCTGCTTTTTAAAAAAAAATAATTCCGTTAATTAAAAATCATCCTGGATCTGTTTCAACAAATAGCTAACAACAGAGTTGTAATAGGCACCACTGTCACTGGTTGGCAAACAGCTGCTATGAAAGCCCTTGGAAAGTCTCTGAAGTCGGCTGAAAATTCCCTTTTGAAATCATGATTATTCTTCATGTCCTTGGCAAGCTTTGCTCTGGTGGATTAGCTCTGACAAAATGGCAAATTCAGAATTTGTAGAGTTTAAATAAAAACAGAGTTTCTATGAAGGACTAAGAGGCAAGTCAGAGACATTTTGAAAACTGCTGGCCTGATGTGTACCAGGCATTAAATGCTCTTCTCAGAGGAGAGTACCAGGCTCCATGGCCACCCCAAGCAAGGCCTACCCTGGGAGCTTCACTAGAGGGAGGCTCCTGTTTCTTCAGAGTGAGTGATGTGACGCTCTGAGCCTTCCTTTCTCTTTAAGCGTCTGGCTCCTGGAGCAGCAGTCTCTTGGGAAACAGAACTGAACGGAAGGCGAGGGTACTGGATTCCAGTTCTGAAACCTGCAGGCCTGTGTGACCCTGGGCAGAACATTTCTCCTGAGGCAATCTGCAGCTAAGGCCCTTGGAGCTCAATTGATCAGATCAGACAAATGACCATTGTGCTGGGCCCGCCAGGATTGACCTCACTTGGACACAGGACGTTATGAATGAATGTTAGAACTAGACAGGACCTTTTGGTGATTAGCTGGACTTTGTCATTTCCCCCAAAGAAGGGGAGGAACCTGTCCAAGGTCACACAATGAGTTAGAGGAAGAATTGGAGTAGAACCCAGGCTTCCTGATGCTCAGTTCCGTGCTCCAGCCAGAACACCACATTATCTCAAAAATCCTAAAGGAAGTGTATTTTATCTCCTTTGCGTCATGTAAATCCCAGACATGTTTCTGAGTTTGGTCTCCATCCTGCCCACTCATCAAAACTGCTTGGGATTAAGTAGTTAAATCCTTACACTCTTCGCTCGCAAAATTTTACTCACACCAGAGGCTTCTCTGAGGCCTGAATCAGGCAGGCGATGAGCTAACCTTTGCCCAAACTCGACCTTTAGGAGCAGGAGAGAAATGGGGTCTGTGTTCCCCAGGGCGCCCTCACTTTGGAGTCTCAAGGAATAAACTAAACTTTGAGATGAATTTTCAGAGATCACTTCCCCAATTTAATCTTCCAAGTTATTGAATCATGCAGTGAATTTTGTAGAAAAGTCCCTCATGGGAACAGAGAATTTCTTGGGGCAGGAGAAAGCCCCAGAGCCAGTGCTCCTGGCACCCGGTCTCCTGTCAGCACAGAGAGAGGGCTCCGCACTCAGGACTGCTTGTCAGTGGATCAGTGGAGCGCTCATCTCCACTATTTTAAAAGCAAAACAAAGCCAAAAAATATCCTCCCTCCTTCTTCTCAGACCCCATCCAAGCCACCAGACCCTTCTAGTCTAGAATGTGAATAAATAAGATTAAATGAAAATGAGAGTGCTAGATAAAAACCCTAAACACCATGCACATGGAAGAGACTATCACTTTTCCCTGCCTGATATCTCTTTGGACATTTTCCAAAGCCCAGCTGAAATGCCATTTCCAAAGACCCAGTCAGACCAAGCTGGGTTCAAATCCTGACTCCACCACCTATTTGCTGTGTGATTTTGAACATGGCTGGTTTGATTTCATTAGGCCTCAGTTTCTTCCCCTGGTAATGGAGGATCATAATACTAACCATTTTATAGGATGACTGGGGACTGAGCCAAGGCCGCTCTTGGCAAAGGCCCCAGCAGCATAATTGCCTGGCAGAGAATAGGCCTCTAAATGTTGAATGAATAGCAGGGGAACCATAGCACCCATCCCTTGAGGTGTCTGACCCAGTACTTTCCATTTTTCAGTCCTGGGCTTTCCCACACCCTTTTGCCCCAAAGGGGCTAGAGAACTCTGAACTAGCCTGTTCTTACCTTGATGAAGTCCTCTAGGGCCATGACCTTGGCCACTGGCCTCCTGCTGAGCTGCTCCTTCATCCAAAGCTCAAGCTTCTTGTTCCACTTCATGGCGAGCACATAAAGGGCGTAGGCCAGCAGTAGCACCAGGCTCTCCCACCAGACAATGAGGCTGTCCAGGAAGAAGAGAATGAGCATCATCAGGTCAAGGATGTAGAAGGAGACATCACGGAACAAGGGCCACCAGGTGAGGTTGAGGATCTCCCGGGAGAAGAGGGCACAGGTGCCGATGACAAAGAGGATGTTGAACACAGCAGAGCCCACGATGGTGCCGATGCCCACGTTGCTGTGGGAGATGAAGACGCCGATGAGGGAGGTGAAGAGCTCAGGGGCAGAGCCTCCAGCAGCCATGAACGTGGCTCCTGCCACATCCTCAGAGATCTGCAGCTTGTCTGTGATGACACCCAGGGCTGGGACAAAGTACTCGTCACACACAATGGCCAAGGCCACAAACACGTATATCATGCCAAAGATGTGCAGGATCACCCAGCCCTGCCGCCGCTCCTCCAAGCTGAACAGGTCTCGGGGGTACTCTGCCTTGGGGTGGTGGTCTGGCTGGCTAGAGGGCAGCGCTGAAGGACTGGGACTGGGCACCTCTGGGAGCGGGGCCGTTGTCAGGCGGGGGGAGTGGGTAGAGGGCATGGCTGGAACTGGCTCCATGACCACACAATGACGAACCTGGGTGGTCGGATTTGCCTGGACGCTGGGTATTGCTGAGGTGCTGGATGCTGGGGAAGGTTTCTTCACCAGCCCCCAGGTCGCTAAGGATATTCCAATGGTTGGTGCACTGGTTCTGGATGAGGGATTCCTAACCCTCCAAGCAGCAGTAGAGGCTTTGGTTGCTGCTGGGCTGCTTCCTGTCATGGTGCTAATCGTCACTTGCCCCTCAGAGATGGCTGCAGTGTGCTCTAAGACCGTTCTCTGGGAAGTCGTCAGGCTGTTCTTTCCCACTAAGCCCCAAGGGTTGGTTGAGCTGTTATTGTCCGTTCTTCTGGGGGTGGTCAGGGTGTTCTTTTCCACCATACTCCTAGGAGAAGTCAAGATGTTTGTTTCTATGTCATTTCTCAAGAAAGTTGGGGTGTTATCAATTATTCCCTTGAGAGTAGTTGGGGTGGTTTCCTCCACTATTCCCTCGGAGGGGCTGGTCACCAATGTCCTGTAGGTTGCTGTAGGTTCACTGTCTTTCACTGTTGTTCTGGGGGTGATCCTATGGCTTCTTGCCACTGTCATGAATGTGGATGGGACAGAGTTCACTGTTCTCCCATGTGGGGATGGGGTGTATTTTTTCACTTTCCCTCTGGCTTGAGTTGGGTAGTGCTTCCTTTCTCCCCTGGGTGTTGTTGGGGTATAATTCTCTGCTGCTGATCTGCCTGAAGTTGTGGTGTAGTGAGTCAGTACTCCTGTTGGTCTGGTTGGGGTGTTTTCCTTCACTCTTTCTGTGCCTGCTGCTGTTGGGCTATAGTTATTCTTAAGTATTGTTGGAGAGATGTTGGCTGTTTTTCTGGGTGTATTGGGGGTGTTCTCCACAGTTAAGCCAGGCGTGGCTTCCTCCTTGCCCACTGTGGCTCGGGGAGCCAGTGTCTCACCCCCCAGCTGAGAGCTAGCTTTTGGCGGGGCACTGCTCCCTGTCATCATCTCATTGCCGGGAAGGTCCCGGCTGGCCAGTTTTACAGGGTGTCGGGAAGAGACTGCTGCCCACGGCGAGGGGAGGCCCCGGGGGCTCCTCAGGTGTTGGTAGGTAGAACCAACGATCAACATTCCCAGTAGGAAGAGGAGGCGACTCCATTGAAGCCGTTTTGGCCGGAGTAACGGCCTTTCCTGTGTCCCCATCCTGATCAATTTCCCCATGATAGCCAGTTATGCTGGGTTACAGAAGGCCTTGCATTCTGTTGTCCACTGAAAGATGGAGGCTGTTCTGGGATTCAGGGTGATGATCAGGGAAGACTTCTCCATGAAGCCCATCCAAGATGTATCCACAAACCTAGAGGAGGGAAAAGAAAGAGAGAGAGAGAGAGATTATTTGCCACTAAGAGGAGAGCTGGGATCCACCAAACCCTCATCTGGAAAAGGGTAACGATTCATGCAGGGCCCTTTGTGGTGGAAGACAGTTGTTTCTGATGGAGCAAAACTCCCCTTGCCCCTGCTTGAAGGAGCAATGCCTGCTCATGGGGAAAAGCGCACCTAGGGGCCCCTGCGCTGGGTAGGCATGCCAGCAGCCTAGGTTCCTGGGCCGGGTCCGCCACGGTCTGCCAGCCCTCCCCACGTCCAAGCCCGAATAGCCAGGAGCTCACAGTCATCGGTGGCTGGTGCTGCAGGCCACAGATCTCCCCTTATCAAAGGCACAAGGGAGGTAAAAAGGCACAGTCTTAAGCTTTAGACAAAAAGAGGCAATAGTGGAAGATAGCACCAGAGACATCAAAACTCTGCATATTTTTTTCAGACTGAGTTAAAAACAATTCCACCATGTCATCCAAAGAGGACAAAGTTTAAAAGTTAGTGTCATGAAGGTTCCCACAGTGTGATGCAGTGGGAAGAACATGGAGAATGGAGTCAAAGGCCTGGATTCCGAGCTCTGCTGCCTGCCAGCTGTGTCACCCTGGGCGGGCTGAGCCTCAATGCCCCCTCTGTGAAATGGGTCTAACATACATGTTGATTAAGCTAAAGCTGATCTCTGGAAGGACATCTGGAGAAGGAAAACTAAAGGTCCCGGTCGAAAGGAGACTTACTTTTCAGTATATATTATTGTTCAGTTTAACCATTTAACCTTTTTATTATATAGATTTCATATTTTTTATTTAATTCAATTTGATAGAACGAACAGCAGTAGTAACATCTAGCTATGTAAATAGCAATAGCAATACCTATGTCATAGGAACGGTGGGAGAGTAAAACACGTAAGGTCTGTGGAAAGCGCTGTACAGAATCAAGTGCTACATAAGGGCTATTTTACATAAGGATGCAGGAGGAAAGACTAGGAAAGGCCCTCAAAGAATGCTCAGTTTACAAAGAAGGGTATGGAGGCCCAGCCCAAGTAAATATCCATTAAATCTCTAATCCAGGTCCACAGATTATTACAAAACAGTAACTAGAAATGATCAGTTTTGCATATGAAGTAGCCTGTTAGAAGTGAGATGAGTAACCCATAGAATCTGAGGTGGTGAAAGGTAGGAGTTACTAACACTGTTTAGTGTAACTCTTCGTGTTTGGTAAGAAACTGAGGTCCAGAGAGGTGTGACTTTCTCAGTGTCACAGAGCTAGTGAGTAGCAGTGCAGGCGAGCCTTCTAATGCCCCAATCTTTCCAGTGTCCCACACTAGAGATGCAAATGCAATTGTCTTAAAAAGCAGAAGAGGGACAAGCAAAAGGAGAACTACAGAATAACTGATTTTCCTTCTTTGTCCTTGATCCCTATAACTGTCTTTCCACCGTCTCCCCATCCACCCTGTCCCTTGCCATAAACTCAACACATGGGATCTCCTAAAGAAACTTCAGAGGGTCTCCCTCTTTCTGGTGTGCCTGTGTTATGTCACGGAGCTGAGCTGGCATCCCAGCTGATCTGTCCTAGCTAAGCACATCATTTACCTTCAAACCTGGACATCTGGGTGTCTTCTCCGTTCTGAAAACTTGTCAAAATCCAGAGTCTCAAAAAGTGGGTCTGAGGCTGGACAGCAGGAAACGCCCCATTCTCCTGCCCCCAGCTCTCCTATGGATCCTAATTCAAGGCAGGGTCGGGTGTGAAGGGCAACTCAGAGGAAGAAGAGCCAATCCCTGCTAATGCCACCTCTAAGAAGCTTACCGGGGCCTTGTACAAGTTCTGGGTCCTGGAGCCTCTGCCAGAGACTAAGAGGGTGCACCTTCCACCAGGGACACAAATGGGCTTTCATGGCCCCTGCCAGCGGCGGGGGGGGAACTGGGGGAACTTCTCAAACTTGCTTCTAAGCTCCAGGAATGAGAGGCGGTCTGGGGTTTCCATGCTTATGGGAAGGAAAGATTCAGAATTTTCGCTCTGTGGGAACCAAGGCAAAGTGCCTGGGGCTTAAGAGATCAGAAGACCTCTTTTGCTACTGTGTGATTCTAAATGTAATCTAATTGTAAATGTGGAGATAATAATACCCGTTCTACCTATTTGTAGGGTGGATGTGAGAATCAAAATTTTAAATGAGAGAACATCTGCTCAGTTTTGCTATGAACCTAAAACTGCTCTAAGAAATAATCTATTTTTTTTAAATGAGGGAATGTGGGGAAGATATTTTACAAACTTTAAAGCATATCACACTTACAAACTATTTTATTAGGCATAAGGGAAACTTGGGGGAGAGGGCACTGGCAGATCCAGCCAGAGCAGACTGGAACACCCCAAGACACCCCAGGAGCTGTGTTGCCAGCTGAGGGCTGGAGCTGAAGGAAGTGGGAATGAATGAGGAAATGGGGAGTCTCGTGGTCCTCCCCACAGACCTGGCAGCCATTTCAATCATTCAGCTGACTCTGCCTGACACTTACTGATTGCTCCTTTCTCCCTCCCAGCTTCCCCCAATGTAGGTACAGGGACAGCATGCCGCTTTGATTACTTTCCCTAGAAAGAGCAGGTAATCCCTCATAGCCTCCTCGCTGCCCCAGTTCCCCCTGAGTGACCTATAACAGTGAGAGGGTACCAGTTTGCTCTCCCCGAGCACACAGCGGTGCCTGACCCCGTGGAAAAGCTGTCATCCTCTCTGGGTGTCCTGGAGTCACTCTGAATGTTGGAGGCCTTGGGCAGAGGGGCTGACCCTTGCTAGTTACCGCATCCTTACCTTTGGACTTCTGCAGGCAGAACCAGACCTAGTTACTCTCCTTCTCACACAGACTATCTAACATAGTCTCAATCTGGTCTGGTCCAGAAAGATGGAAAAAGGAACCCAATTCACAGGGTGGAATGTTATTTAGCACTAAAGAGAAATGAGCTATAAAGCCATGAGCAGATTTGGAGGAAACTTAAATGCATATTGCTCAGCAAAAAATGTTACTCTGAGAAGGTTACAAACTGTACGATTCCAACTATATGACATTCTGTAAAAGGCAAAACTACGGAGACAATAAAAAAATCTGTGGCTGCCAGAAGTCAGGGGAGAGGGAGGGATAAAAAGGCAGAGCACAGAGGATTTTTAGAGCAGTGAGACTACTGTATATGACCACAGCGGTGGATACATGTCATTACACATGTGTCAGACCTTTAGAATGTACAACACCAAATGTCACCCCTCAGGGAAACTATAGCCTTTGAGTGATAATGATGTATCAATGTAGGTTCATGGATTATAACAACTATATCACTCTGGTATGGAATGTTGATAGGCTGTTTGTGTGTGTGTGTGTGTGTGTGTGTGTGTGTGTACACAGTTTACCTAGAACTCTCTGTACTTTCCACTCCATTTTGCTAAGAACCTAAAACTGCTCTAAAAAGAAAGTTTATTAATTAAAAAATAAGTCCTTCCCTGGCCAGTGTGGCTCAGTTGGTTGGAGCATCATCTGTAGACCAAGAGGTTGCAGGTTCAATTCCTGGTCAGGGCACATACCCAGGTTGCAGGTTTGATCCCCAATCGGGGTGCGAACAAGAGGGCAGCTGATCAGTGTTTCTCTCTCTCTCTCCCTCCGCCTGCTTCCCTCTCTCTCTAAAAGCAATGAAAAAATGTCCTTGGATAAGGATTTTTTCAAAAGTCCTTATCTTTTAGAGATACATACTGAAATATTCACGGACAAAATGTTATCCAATCTAGAATCTGCATCAAAATATGTTGTGGGGGAAGTGGGTAGAGGTATAAATGAAATAAGATTGAGAATTGAATTGACAGTAGAAACTGGGTGAAGTGTACATGAGGATTTATTATGCTATTTCTTCAATCTTTGGATATGTTGAAATTTTCCAGTATAAAATATTTTAAGAAGAGAGAAGGGTCATAACTACAATTTCTTTGGACATCTACTTAGGTGAAAATAGTGGAATGTGGTTTGAGGATGGGGGAAAGGGGATACCCTGGAGCTTGGAAGAATGATTTGGGAGTGGACAAGATGCAGGACAGAGGATGCAGGAAGGAAGACACAGGACAAAGGACAGCACGGGAGAGCAAAAGGGAGAGAACAGAAAAGGGTTGTGGGCTCACTGCTTTCCCCCACCTTCTTTCTTCCTCTTTCCTTCACTCAGTCACCCCTTACCTTTCATCTCTGTGGATTGAAAATCTGCTTGGGACTTGACAATGAAGATTCCAGGCACCAAACCATGAAATGCCAACTCAGTCAGCCCAGCTCGGGAGCCTGTATTTTCAACACGTGGCCTAGGAGAATTGAATACATGGATCTCCCTTGAGCCCAGTATGTGGTCCTGTGAGCAGCTTGGTATTTCTGTCCCTAACCTCTACTCTGCCAGACTGAAGACCAAACCATTCTGCCTTTCAAAGCTTCTGGGACAGAGGCCCACTGTTTCAATGCAGAAAATAATAAAGGGGGATGATAGATTATATGAAGAAGTTGTTTATTGATTTCCTTCAATATGTGTGTGGAAATATGCAAATGATGGGGGTCTCTTGAGTGGAATAAAGAAAATGAATCAGCTATGGCTTAAAGGCATCTCCTTTAAAACCTTCTAACTTTGTCCTGATGTTCTCTGATTTCACATTCACTGAACAACCTTCTGATTTTAATGGGATTCTACTAAAAATTCAAAAACAAAAACAAAAGCATTGACCAGTTGTCCTAAGTGATGCAGTCCTCTTGGTAGTTTTACCTTTTATTGTCAATTTTAATAAATTGCTTTTTACTTCTCCCGCCTCCTGAAAGCCTGTATTTAGAAGAACTAGGTCACCAAGATCTCATCAC